TCAATACTCAGCTCAAAGATATATCAGTCCACAAAATGCTATTTTCCGTGGCCTCTTGTACCTATCAAAATAGCGCCAATCACATATTTGATGTTATGCCAATGAGTCCTAAAGCATACTCTCACAAAATGTCTTGCAATAAGCCCGCTCCAACTCTGTTCGATCGAAGTTCAAAGTTGAGCATCTGCTATAGTCTAAAACTGTCATAATTTTGGATGCCATAAGTTGGGGGACGAGTCCAGCATCTTGCACCGTACTGACAACCTAGCGAAATGGCCATCGTCATGGCTGCCATCCCTTTGGCCTCGACTCAGATGAAACCACGTGAGCTTTTTTGAAACGAACAGTGGTAGTTGGATTAAACTAAGTTCCTGCTTCTCATCTCTCTAAAAGCTTTAATAGATCGCTTCAAAGAGATGCACTTCAGTGCGAGAGCCAACGAGACCATTGTGGACGGGAAATACAAACAAAGTGAGCACATTGTGCAAAAGAAAAGTGGCAGTGATCCAATCCGCAGACGATGAGGGACATTGCGTACAAGCGTTTTAGCTTTCTTTTCGTCCCCGCTCCTTTTACTTTTTCGCTCTATTTAGTGAGGTCTATTCTTTGACTTTTTCGCTTTGGACGGACAAACTGAAAAGCCGTTGTTTAAACAAGGCACACTTGAGCCTAAACGTAAGCTTCACAAGTGGTAGCGGCGGAAGCACGGTTGGGTGCCTTAAAAGACGATGATTCCTTCGTTTTGTTAGCAGTAAAGGTGTGAAAAAATAGCTGCAAGACAAAATGAGACGGAACTCAGGAACGACGAGGACGTCATATGAGAACGTACGGCAACACCAATAACAACGGAAGAAAGCAGTAGGGCTAAGGAGGCTCTGCATAGGTATGCTCGTATTTTTAAGGTCCATATATGAGCAGGTATCGTCTTTGATCTACTCGTCCGTTTATACACTATTTGTTTGGACAAGCAGCTCTTAGCATGAACGGAAGCAATGCGCGCAAAGTTGTTCTTTGGCATGCGCGCCAACATAGAAAAAAGCCTGTTGAAAATTTAGTGGTAGACAACAGCGAACTATACTGAAAAAAATAGAAGTAAATTAAGATGCAGTCATTGATCACAGCGTGGTGATACAACAAAGCTGACTGCAATTAAACCTTCTACTGACGCATTTGGGTTAGCTTTGTACTACCATCGCAAGACTAGATTCTCCTAAAAGACAAAGGGTTAGGGACTAATTAAAAGATTTTAGAAGGTACCCTAGAAGCGATAAATCTATGAAACAATAGCGAGTATTATGAAAAATACTATAGCTTAGATATAATGAATTAATGCTCGCCTGATATGCTTCCCGAAGACTGAAGATAGACTAGCACAATATAGGAGCTATAAGAACAAGTTAATATATCCTATTTTCTTTATAGACCTGGGTTCTTGCACATGCTGCGGAGCGCCAATAACCTTTAAGAGCTTCCTGCTGAAAAAAACAGGTGAGATTGAAGCGATGTTTCCTAATTTTACTCTAATAACAAAAAAAAGCCTTTGAATACCACTTGAGAGTTTTAGGAAACGCCTTGTTAACACAATCTGTTTTGACCTAACGCCGCTTGTGGAATCTGACTGTTTTGTTGTCAGGAGCAGGGTGAGCATGTTCAGCTCCTCAAGCAGGCTTGCTTATAGGGGTAAATGAAAGCTAAACATGGATCAAGTGAATACCGCCTTGCATTAACGGTTCAAAGGATAGCCAAGAAGATGTACATTCTGCCCTGCTCCAGATACTTGCATACTGTCCGAATGAATGCATTATTCATTGAACGAGGCAAAACGCAAGCGGGTCCAACAAAAGGGTCCATAGGAATTATTATTATCCTTGAACGGCTGTTGTAGACAGTGGCAACTTCCTACGCTTGCTAGGTCCTATGTACCCGATTCATTTCATCTCATGCTCATCTCCTCTTTTCCCCTCCCGCTATAGCACGGCATCCCCTGCTCTTGCTCTAGTCTGTACATGTACATGGTTCAAAAGTCCTGTAGCTTACTTTCTCTTCGCATTCTCTGTTCTTTTTATACTTCCTTGACTATGAAGTACAGCTATGAGCAGAAAGGCAGAATTGTTAGAGCGGTCCCTATGCCTGTGTATTATTTCCTGTTAAAGACCTCCGGCTGATCGACACGCCATCGTGTCGATTATGAAAAGCTTCTCATCCTTTCTACCTCTCCACATCTCATTTCCCCTAGCACATCTCCGCAACCGAGTGAAGGAGCAATAACTGTTGGTTTTCCTCAGCTAGCTGTTTGTGAATGACCCCGGCGATACTGATGCGTGTTTGCGCGTATATTACGAGCTCGTCGAGGCAAGCGCGGTCATAGTAGGATTGTCTGTTGCCCTCGGACTCTGCGAACTAGTCAGAGTATACTAAGAGTGGCTACTGCGGTTGTTACCAAGATGCTCAATGTAGATGCCTCGGGCGCTTGGGGTGCTGTCGAACTGGTACTGAACTGACTGACTAACTGTCAGCTCCAGGACTAGTTCACGCGACGGGGGGAAGAGGTGTGTGTCTGTGTTGACTCATCCTTACGAGTCGGTGCCTGCCACCTACTTTTCCCTTTTCGCCAACCTCTAGGAGCTTTCATTTCAGTTCCATTGATACCCTCCCCCTCCCCCTTTCGTCGCTATTCTAGTGTCGCAGCTTCATTTCTCCAGCGTAGTCTTAATGCCCCTGACTTTTCTTTCTCGCAGAGATTCTTTGGCTTACTTAGTCAGCCACTATGTTTCTGTAGGGTACAGATAGAGAACGCAAGTCGTGCCACGGTTCCCCCTCTGCCATGTGAAGATGTTGGGATCTTGTTATGGAGTCGACATTGAAGGATTTGTTGAAATCGGCTGCTGGCTACGAAAGGACGAGGGCCTGACTCGAGTATATGTTCCTATGATGAGCAGGACTAAACCTAACTGCATACGCTGTCCTTCTGACATCACCTGCAACAAACCGAAGGTAGCCGACCTGTTTGAAGGTGCCACCTTACACGCTAATTAGACGTACGTTGACAACCTTGATGGATGCTTAACTGTCGGAATCTCAGAGCGACCGCATACAGCTCTACTAGTCAGAGCTTTGTAGGTCGCCGATATGGAAAGCACACGAAAATGTAATGAGCAACCACTGGCTAACAGCTGGCTGCCTCCTAACTGAACAGGAAAGTTTTGAAAAATACAGGCCAACACAGAACTATGTTTATATCCAATAAAGGTCAACTTTGAGACAAACGCTACACCCCTCCTACATCGTACATTCAGAATACGTACCTCATATTCTCTTCACTCTACCCTAAAAGCAAAACATCATAAATCAGTTATTAATATGATTACCAGGATGAGAAAATAGCCTTGGCCTTGTTGTTCCTGGCACAATTTTGATACTAGTACGTATAATACTACATTGTTATTTCCTAGCATTTATTAATGCAAGCATTTTTCGCGGGGCGTCTTCGTTTAATGTACCTTTTCGTATATCAGTGGGTATCTATGCATGAGCGTGTATCTGTATTGGCATTACTTGTCTATAACTGCATCTATAGTTGTCGTTATTGTTCAAACTAGTATAGATGGATATAATTTACCACCAGGTACCCCTATTATCAATCAATCGGTGGCTCCGGTTGGCCTGAGTGAAAGGCACATTCACTGCACGGTCACGGTCGGTATTGCACCACCCCGTGACCCTGCGGTACAATTCCGACACCGAAAACGATAAGCTCAATTTTCGACGGCCCACACGAAGCTGGTACTTGTTCTTCCGAATTCTAGTCTCAGCCGACGCGCGCGTTTGACCTCTCATTGACCTTTGGGGAAGCGATCTTTTGTTAGGTCGTCCACAGAAGAGTACGGGGATGAATAGCGGACGCGAGCGTATTCGCTGTAAATTTTATCGAGTGAACGCACAAATCCGTGCGAAACAGGATTTATTATTTACCTGTCAAATAATAGCTCTTTTAGCGTGCGTAGTACTCATCCGATACGGGAAAAAGTTCAACTATATTTATCGCTCACTAACTACGACGATTTGCTACAGTAGCCGTTTAAGCAGACGATCTGTTCTTCAGAGGTACATATAATTAGCAACAAGATAAACCTGTTAAGTTTAGGGTGATCGTTTTGCCAGCTGATGTTGACAGAGCGAATGTATAGAAGATTCTAGAATCTCTCTCAACATTCAGAGAAATCATTATCGGAACCTTGAAAAGGTATCATCAAAGAGTTCAGGGCTGATGTTAGAAATACCTGTGCCATTTTTTCAACGAATACATGAACCATCTTCTGTTTGTTATCATCTTCCTTGTTTGTTTTACGCTATATTTATTGGCTAATTAACACATATAGCACGTGTTAGATGAAATTCGGACACCAAGTGATGCCAGTGGATCTGTGTATGTTTACGTTGACGATGGTTCGCGTGCGGTACACATATATATACATATATATGTATATATTATCGCCATCGCCGGGCCAGTGTCTTGTCAGTCAATTCACACTGAAGAAGCATTCCTTGATTTAATGGGTAGACACATACACTCAAACAGAAAATGACCTAAAAATGTTTCCTAAATTTCTGACATTTCTTTTTTAGTTGATTTTCCTACGTTCCTTATATTTTTCATTTGGAACCACAATGAGGGCCGTCTCCAGCACAGGCCTATGCAGGTCCATTCAAACAGAGGTCACACGTGGAGCTAATATCGGCATATTTGAATGAGGTGTGTACAGACGTTTCTTTTTTTCATCCAAACTCGACCATCTATCGAAAAATTTCATGAATATTCGTCTGATTTCTAGACGTCGGCTTGCTACTGTGTATGGACATTAAATAAATAGATAAAGCTGGTTGTTTTGATTAAAATACAAATAGATGTGTGTCAAGCAAACATAATAATAATTTATTAACCATTAAATATATATTGGTCACATGTAAATGTAAATAATTTGATACATCAGTTCCGAAAAAAAGACGAAAACAAGGAGAGCGAAAGGGACGCGTTAATCACACCTGTGATCTTCATAGAACCCGGAGAAACGAACCGGTGGTTGGGCAAAAATCATCGTTTTTTTTTTATCTTTGAAGAAGTAAAGATCCTGTCTCAAGCAATCACGTCTGATGATTTCACGTTTTCTTGCTTTACAGTACTTCAGCTACTAAAAATAGATGTGTCATTGAGTTTTTTGACGGTTTACCTTTCGTATCTGTAAATTCGACTAGTTTTTATGCTGGAATAAACGTTTCTTAAAAATGCTACATTCTAAAGCTTAGCTAGGGAATTTACAAAAACTCTACGATCTTGTTGAAGCGTTGCTGTTTCTAAGAGCACGCAAGAACTAAGCCAAAAAGCAATATTTAATCTGACGGCTGAATATAGTAAAAAGTGCCAAGGGATGATCAGAACAGCAGGGTAGCTTACGAGCCGCATAGTCACAGAAGGCCATAAAAAAGATCCTGAAACTCTCAGCCAGAAGGCTTCAATATATATATATATATTTTTTTTTTGTTTTTTTTTTGCGGCTAGAATAATTAAAATATGTCCGTGACTAATATGCGTTTGAATAATGTTTCACATTATTATTCTGTCTTATTATTTAGCTCTCTAATGGTATACCCATAGCACTATCTTTCGTTCGTTTGTTTACTGCTTGATTCCTCTGTAACCGTCAATGGTCAAAACGACTATGCAACTTCACAGTACTCACTATTAGTGAAGATTTTTGCTATGATTTTTTCATTAAATAAATGAAAGCTGTCACATTTACAATTTATTTATATTGAACCGATCTTCGTGATGCCATGTCCGATGTTTAGTATATGGGAGACGATGTATCAGGATATATCTGAGTTGTTCTCTAATCATTAACCTCAATGTGTAGACACGATGCCCTCATCATATCGAGTCACCGCTGCCGGTTTACGTGCGGCGCATGTGCACAGACTAAAATGTCAACCCATGACATATGCGGCCGTTATGAGGGGCTGGTTGACATTCATTGCTCTTTCTATCATCGATATCACCGAAGTTGAAGTTCCATCAGCTGTTTGACAAAACGGTTGTGTAAAATGAAAAAATTGTAAGTTAACCACGTGTCTACTTCTATTTTCTGTGGGTGTCAGAGAAGATCATTCCGTTAGGCGTCCATTGTGGTGAATTCTAACTGCTGAAAATTAAAGATATAGCGAGTAAATCGGTTGTGCTGATCTGATACTAAATATAGAAATAATAGATTTTTTTTTCGATCTTCTGCTTTATTGAATTTCGATATAATTCTCCTGTGTATTTCGACGATTTTATGTAAGGGCTCGTAGGTGCAGACGTAATCGGCCGTGGAATACACTCCTAGGTTGTGTTACCTGTTAAGTGTCAGCAAGGCAAGGCAAGGCTATTATCTAAGGTTCAATAGATTTAGAAATGTCCAAAAACGTTGGGTTAAAATTTCTGCGTTACAGAATCGTTCCGCCTACTGCTTGGGAACTCATGCAGATGGAATATGAGTTCAACCAAAACGCAGATTTGGCAATGGCTACCGATGATTATTCCAGAAGTGATAGCTATTCCACAAATCTAGTAAGTAAGACAATGCTGTAACGTCTACTCTTCATATTATAGTTATTACAACCACGGACAATTGCCTTATTTACACCATTATTTGCATTATGAATACTTGTGGTTATCCGGTCCCTATTATCTATCGTCTAGTTAATAATTTATATACGAGGGGTATCGTAGTGAAACATCTGAGTCAGGCCAACAGAGCAACGGAGCTAGTGAAATTACTAAAACAATATAATCTAAAACAGGCTGTGTACTAACGTGATTTAAAACTTCCAGTTCAAAACTTATGTTGAAGTTGTAAAAAGTCGTAGGACAGCGCGGGTCATGCGCAGCACGAGGTGGTTAACAAGTCAATAAATATTTATAAGTACGAGCATGCAAACGTCGTACATTACGACACAGATCAACGGGCGACAGCCACGTATTCTCGACATTAAAAATTTAAATAACAATAAAAAAAATTGTCTTCATCCTACTGCACTAACCTTCAAAGAAATCGTTCCTCATTGTCGTTCCTTACAATTTTACTTTTGATATTAATATTTTTCGAACGATGCGAAATACTACAGAGCCAATAAAATACAAGCATAGACGGTCGCTGACGCAACGTTACGGATGTCAATTTTTGAAACTTTGAAAGGAACACAGTAAAAAGAATTTTCACGAAAAAAAAATAACATCTTCACTTCTCTATGGTTAGGCTTTGTGTTGTTTATCTTTGTATTCGAATATTTACTCATCTTCATTCAAATTTGTTATTGCGGTTCGCTTGCCGTAACATTTGTCCGTCGTTTAATTGTATCGTTAAACAGGATGCTGAACGCACAGTTTTCGAGCCCCTATTCGAAACTTGACATCTAGTATCGTGCTTAGCTTTTTTTTTAAATTCTCTCGTTAAAAATTTCTTGCCCAATGTCTTCTTTAAATTTTGCTCGAACTAACTATCATTGATCGCGTTTCGTTTCCTCGCACTCCAACTTTGTAGACGACGCGAATTTCATCAGGCATCACCGAACTTCAACCAAGCGTCTTCACTTCACGCAGACTGTAGGTTATTACACTTCACTTATCGTTTCGATACTTCAGTGACGTTTTAAGGTTTACGCCTAATCTTTCAGCTCGACAAGTTAGTGCCTAAAAATAAATATTTTACGTTTTACGTCGCCAAGCATGAAACGATGTGTGTATACGCCTGATTCGAGCCTAGATCAATCACCACGCATCTCTAAGATTAGCAGGAAGACACGTTACCAACTAACCTCGAAAGAGGATAGCTTAATGTGTGTCGTTCTATTCCCAACGCCGTTGATCCTTCGCAAAGTAGAAAGATGGTCGACAACCAGCCGCTTTCATCGATCTCCCTTTGCGTTTGCTACGGCCAGTGGCAACAGTCACCATAAATATACTACCGATTGTTCACTTGGGCCTGGCATTTGCCTGCTTCTGAGCGGCTAGTCAGCGCTTCTTCCCTGAGACATAGTCCTGATCCTACTAACGATACCAATAGCGGTAGGACAAGAAGAAGAAGAAGAAGAGCAAAAACGTTCCCTAAAATAAATGTACCACCAGCATACAATGGCTGATCGTGCTATAAAGCTTTTCGCCAGAAAATATAGCGTACGTTGACGTTGTTGTTGCTGTTGTCGTCGCTGTGAACAAACCATTCAACCAGCGTTCGGCATCTTGTTTCAAGCGCAAGGAAGTAACTATATGCCAATGGATAGTAATTGACTCCCGCGCATGGCGTAGCAGGAATAGCAGTAGGTAGCATTCGTGACCACCGTTTCGATTTTAACACTAAATCAACGGCGGCCAGGAAACCGCGGTGATGCTACGGATGGCGTCAATGTTTATTGCCATGCCGCATCAAAAAAGGCCAATGATGATTTGATGCCGATCTGAGTTCCTCGGGCCTGAATAAATAGCAGGCAGTACCAACATGTGTGCTGTTCCTGGTAGGCACGGTAGAAGTGACGCTACATAGAAGGCGCTCCCTTAGGCAGCAATATGAAAAATCTACAGAATAATACTATTTATGCTGCTTGCAGCATAAATAAGGTCGAATGACATTAAAGTCATTATCACCAACATATACTCGACAATAATAACGGCAGCACCAATATTTATACGCCTATATAAATATTATATCAAATTCGGGCCGATAGATTTGAATAAAGTTACACTAAATTAGCTATCGGGATTTAAAATTTTCTTCGTACTTATTAAAGACGTCCCGTGAGCGATGATGTTCACAGAGACGTGACAACTATTTTTTTGTTTCCAACGGCTTTTCTATAGTATCGAAGCACCTGATGACAGCGCTCTCTGGTCACCGCAATGCCGGAATGAAAAAGGCAACCGATCAAGCGAGGCTACCCAAGATACAATTCGTGTTGAAAATTTGCCTTCGAACGAGGTGAAGATAAGCGTGAAGATTTTGGAAGGTCGAAAACACCCAAGCGCATCTTTGCTATCTAGAATTATTTGTTCACTCCGACGTTCATGCACTCAAATATTGGTAAGTGAGACATAAGTAAGTATGAAACATGCATGAGCCTCTTTTTTTACTCTTATCACACTACTACAAAATGTAGAATGTCGCAGGTTTTCGTCCCATTAATGGTGCAATTAAATGTGTGCCCATTAGATACCCGTGAAATGGTACAGACCGGTTGAAGACCGGGCGTAGGCACATTGCGTTGCCTGCTAAGGACCAGCTTTCTGAAGCAATGCTCCTATTGGATGGGTAGGTGTATTGAACAATGTTGGGGTAGCTTAAGTATAATCTCGTTCGAGCTAACGTCCTTGAAGGTAACTTTACTGACTATGAACTTTTTTGTGAAATTCATGACACACTTGAGCTGGAGTCTAAACGCTGCTTTCAACTACAATTAAGTACACCTAGGAAAAGAAGACATTTTCTGTTAATTTTCCAAGAAAAGACACCAGAGATTTTTCAGTGTCAGCACTATATTTCAAGCAACCTGAATCGTAAAATAAGAACTATAGCTGTTACTACAGCATTTTTAGTTTTCGTTGAGGGTATCTCGACATATCCATGCGTTCGTTGTTTTCCTTGAGACCTGTAGGGTGCTCTTTGTGTTGAATGGGGACACATTTGTATAGCTTTTCCCCTTTCCCATTTCTGACGATTTCCCAATCGTCAATGGCTATGGGATGGGCTGGTCCTATTGCCACTCATGTCAGACTTATATTCAGATATTCTCTTTTATAATGGCCTAGACGTTCGGCTAAGCTATTATTTCTCAGACTGTAAGAGTGGCAGTGCAACAGCCAAATGCGAACAACGAATACCTGAGCATGGCCCCGCAAGAAAACAGCAAAAGGGCAGTTTGATCCCGCACCACTGCAAGTCCCGTACAGGCCTGTTTTTTTTTTTTTTTTTTTTTATATAAGATGAGCATCCTTGAAGAACGTCCGCATAAAAATGGCCAGAGATATTTTCGAAACCTATCATGTAAGCTTGAACCCGGGGGCGACTCGTAAGTTGGCCATTGCGCACTTTTAACAGGCAACAGGCCTGAGCTGCAAAAAACATCGTCTACTAAATATGCCATGTGACAGGTTCAAATAGTAAATTAAAATACTAATGGCGTAGTAGCAAAGGCAAGAATTGTCGTTTCCTATATCGATATGCCTCGAAACATTTGAAAACATACATTTTCATTTGAGCTATTTGTATCGTTCTTCATAGGATTTTCGTTGGTCGTAGTTTGTTTAGCTTCAAGCTGAAGTATGCGACTGATTACCTTGACTAGATCGTCAACTTTATAACCCACTGGATATTTTTAAATTGGCGCCCTTTTTAAAATAAGCCTTCCTTCGCTGCAAATGCCTTCATTAACACTTTATCGTCTGTTGCGTTGTCATACGGTGAGGATCAACATATAGTAGACGTATTTATCGTGTCAGTTAACGGTGACCTTATTATTTATCTACAAAAATAACGGGATGTGCTTCGTCCCAGACTATTTTTTTTACCTAAATAAAAACAACTGGCACTCTACACACTTACGGCACTTCCCGCTCACGAGCAAGGTTAGAAAGATGCCGAAAATAAAAACCAAAGTTCGTCTTGTGAAACAACCGATTTTATGTTTGTATTTAGCCGCTCGTTAATTTAGAATTCAAAGCAAGGATTTATGGGCTTATTAAATAATCACCCAATCGCTCGATTAAGAAAGCAAACTGGCAAAAAGTAAAAATACTTCTGAAATACTTATCGAACCTTTGTTAAAAAAAATGCAGCCCATTCCGACTTCAGTTAGTTATTGGCAAACATAAGGAACTAAACCAATCAAAAAACAAGCCAGACGGTTGAACGATCTCTTGTGTAACTACAACCAAAAATGGTGTAGTCCGAGATGTTAAAATGGAAATATTAGCTGCAAAGCGTTCTTTGACAATGTACAGTGGCAACCCCTTACGTAACTTGTTTCGTACATAGTAGCAGTACGGTGAACAAAGTAAATGAATATTCCCAGAAAGAAGCCACGTCATGAACCTGGATCAAGATGGGTCACGACTTTATTACCCCCATCGAGACCCTGCCAGCAGCTGGAACAATAACAATACACTCATCATCTTCACTATTCCATTTCTGCCAACCGCCTTCTAGAGTCTTCACCTATA